CCTACATGGCAATATGTAGCAGTGCAATTATGTTAGAGCCTCTGGGCTTTTTAGCTTAGATCATGCATTTTAACCATTTATGTAATTGCAGTTTGCATTGCCAAATGAAAAAAAACCCCAAATCAAAACAGTAGTAGCAGTTATTTGTAAATCAGGGCAAGGCATCTAGAAATGTTAAATGAGGCTTCCTCAAAAGACATCACAGAGTTCTACATTTGCTTTTTGGAAATCATACACTAAATAAAGCATTTTAAGTTTAAGTGATAAATTCTGAATGAAGAACTGATTTTTAGCAGCAAGGATATGCATGAAGGAAAGGGTCCTCTCCAAAAGCTGGTTGCTATTCCTACTTCCCTTGCACTCTAAAGAATGGAGGCTCTCTCCTTTTAGTGTGTGTAACTGCAAATATATTATTCCTCATTACAGTTCTAATCTAAGTAAACAGGCATCCTTCCATTCACATTAATGAGTTTTCAATAAGATTAAAAATTTCTCTCGGTAACAGAAAATATAGCTGTAACTTCTCACAGCAAATAAAATGAAACACCCATTGCACAATCTAGAAGAAAAATATACTTAAGTTTGGTCTCATTAACTTTGAAATCATCTTTACCTACAGCCCTTAGCTCTGTACTAAAGGGTCAATGTAAAAATGCAGTGTGACTGAGTCTTCATCTTCGAGGCTGTTTATAATCAAGAAGAATTTGGTTTCCCAGCTGCAAATCTTGCCTCATGTCTGACTCAGGTATTATACCTAAATACCTTGAGGAAAAAGTAGTAAAATTAAAGCCCTCAAACACATGGCCACTGCGTTATGTTCTCTAATATGGCTGGATAGTAGTGATGCCAAAGTCTGTTGCACACTCCAGTGATGCCATTCCAACAGCCTGTGGAGATTAAAACTTTTATGAAGATAGAAAATTACATGTTAACACATCTAGCTGTGCACGCATTCCAAATGTATGCAGTGCTTTGCTACTGTGAGTTTGAGTAACTTCATTCATTATTTTTGACTGGTGTATAACTGGTGTAGAACCAACTGGTGCCAAGATTTTGTCAGAGATTTTAAACCATGAGTGCCAAACTGAAAGTTATCTTAAAAACATGAATGGCAAGAACATAACCAATAACCAGTACATTTTATCAATGTACTGTTGAGGTATGTAATAACCTAGAAATCTTAATATCAGGGTGTTCAGCCAAATGTCACAAACTAAGCAATTCCCAGGAAGCCTTAAACTTGAGCTCCATAAGCTCCAACATGAATCTAACATAGGTGCCCTAAACTTTTGCATTTTGACATTTAAAGTCAACAAAAACATTGAAAAAGTACCTGGGCATGTGATGGTGGGAGTCCTCTTCTTATATAAACACCAAAAAGAGCATCCTTCCCTAAGGATATGTTGAACTTCAGGAACTGTGGCTGGCTGATATGGATTTGAGATCGCCAAAAAACTCCAGGGGGAACTTCCTGGGTGACCCTGCGGCCAACTTCTGTTTCTCCACTATCTACGCTGCTATTCCTAGTGACCCATGGTCCTAGAAAATAAAAGAAAATATAAATCAAATGAGATAATTGCTTTTAATACAGGTATTTTTATTCATTCAAGATGACCATCTGTGGCAATGTCACCTTTTAAATCCACCTGTAACTTTCCTTTCCTATTCTGGTGCAATCTGCGGGCTGTTTCAACTGGTATGTAAGAATTTGGCCCCTATATTTGAAGTAAGAAGACTGTGAACTTTTTCTGTAGAGCATCTGCAACCTTCTAATCTCTCCAACTCTTTAGTTCTGTGATTGCTCTTTACTGATCAAATATAGTAAAAGTAGAGAGCCAATTAAGCACATACCATCTCCCTGTGCTCTTTTCAGTTGCATCTTGTGTGCAATCAGGGTATAAAAAAATATCAGAAAGGTGAACTGAAGGGGAAACTTCAATCTAAATGAGCTGACTGCAAATTTTTATTAGCATTGCTTTATATAGTAAAGTAGTCCAATAAACTCCAGGTCATAGACAAGAGAGTTGGCAGAAAAATGAAATGCACAGAAAAGGATTTAGAGGGCAGCGTCTGTACTCTAACATGCATCTTCTTCCTCTTGAAAGAAAGTTAGAACAACTCAATGTGCTGCCTTTTAAGTTCGCTCTGCCTTAAGCAGGGACTATCTACAAATCTCTCCCTTGTGCTGTGGTTAGTTACCATCCATCATTTGATGGTTCTTCAGCATGCATTATTGAAGACAAGGTACAAGACCTTTCCGGTTGAGTGCTCTGGCTTCCAGTCCATGAAAGAGTTAACCTTTAAAACATGGTGCAAGCCCCTTCCGTTCTCAGCTGAATAAGACTTTTCTGAGGCTATACATATTTTAAACATGGAGGGCAACATATGAAGAATTAGCAGTGCTTTCAGGCTACAGTATGTACCAGTGTTTGATTTTGTGTTCCATATTCCTAAACAAAACGGTCATAAATCCATTTCAAAATTACTACAACAGACACTATAAAGACCAGAAAATGACAGAAAATATCTGTTACCAATGACTATTAATACAGTAGATGGTCGTGATACCTCTGATACAACCTGACAGCATTTGTTAAAAGCTCAATGTTTACTTCATGTTTTTTTTCATGGTGTAACGCTATTTTCAATAAATGGCAAGTTACTTTTGAAATATATTCCAGCACTGTATAAATGTAACCAGATGACACAGAATGACATATAATTCCAAAAGGTAAGTACATAACAGCTTTTCTGTCTTGACTATCTTTAATTGAGAGAGCTGCAATAGCATGGTTTCAATTATAGATTCCAAATTATCTATGTTAGCAGCACTTACACTTGTACATAATGAAACAGATATTATGTTGGCAGTGTTTTGAAATGGTAAAAGAATGCTCTGAATACAAGCTGCTATACAGTTTTTAGCAACTTGTTTATTTTTTTCATTTTCTATGTTAATGGGTCTACTATAACATCACAGCACTAAGGAAAAAAAAAAAAGGACAGAAGAAGCAGCAAATATAGGCTGCAAAGAAAGGAAAAATGGCCAAGAATTGTCAAGCAACATGCCTTTAGAGCTGCCGAAGAACACAGATAGCAACCAGATTCAAACATGTAACATTTCATAAGAACTACATGATTTCATTTCTAATGGATTATTGCAACAGAGGATATCTCAAAGTTCCTATATCGATGGAGTTGGGTACCATCTCATTAGAATTTAAATTAGTCCTTACCTGCATGGAAAACCAGGCACAGAGCACATAAAAATCACCTGTTGAATGCTGTACTGGAATCACTTGCAGAGCTGGGAAGTCAGTGTAAAACTGAGGGCTCCTTCATCTCCTTTGAGTACGGCATTACACTTACTTCACTTCACAATCCCAAGTTATGGTAAAAAAATGATGATTTTTTCCAACATTCTTAGAGTGCTGTAAATCGTTGCTTTGGAAGCAGACTGCATACATAAATAAACATCAACTGTGTCTAATCTGAGAAGAGACTTCTTGACACGCTCTAAAGAACTTGTTCTTCAGGATCAGTATATCCATAGTCAATGTGGAACTGTCGAAGAAAAAGCTATGTCCAGGAAGTACTACAGTAGGCATTATTATTATGATAAAAGCTGTGTAAGTAATAAAGGTGGGAATATTAATAGACCAGTGTCTCTTCCAGTATTCTCTCTCCACAGACTCCTTATACTCAATTAATTATCTGCATTATATATTTTTTTCCATTTGGTTAATTTCATGTCTACGACAAAGCTGCTCCAGTTCACGGAAGCTAGTGCCAATCTTTGACATAAAGAATACTGAAGTCAGTAAGTGTAATATATTTCTGAAATCCACATGTAAAATGGTAAAAATCTAGAGCTTAGATCTGTTTGAAATCCGTAACCTCCCCTCACGTTGGAATCTGCTTCTCATTCAGTTTCTTTTTAAACAACACTTTAGTTTTATACTTTTTAATGCGGTACACATAAAATACTTTGTATTTTTTAATACAGTTCTAGAATCCAGTGAAATAGTAGTCATGTATATTCAGAGATATGGCTTGTATTAGCAGCAAAAATCTAATATTCCAATTAATTAAAAGATAAGCAGTTTATAGTCACTTACCTCATGTCATAAACGTATATATAACATAACATATATCTAACATCCTCCAAGCCCAGGAGTGATGCATCCCAACAAAGAGGAAGGCAGGTAAAAACAGCAGGAGGCCTGCATGGATGGACAGGAAGATCCTGAATAAACTTAGGATCAAAAAAGTAGCCTATAGAGGGTGGAAGGAAGGACGGGTAACCTGGGAGGAATACAGAGAAATTGCCTGAGTAGCCAGGGATCAGGTTAGGAAAGCCAAGGCCCTGACAGAATTAAATTGGGCCAGAGATGTCAAAGGTAACAAAAAAAATTTCTACAGGTATGTTGAGGAGAAAAGGAAAA